AAATTGGGCTGTTACACAAATGACCAAGAGTTGCCATGGTTCAAGAAGAAATGAGAAAACAAAATTCTGCCAACATATGCACTTTTTTGACTCACTGCGCCAGTGGTAATCGGTTACAAGCCTCAACGTTTTAAAATTTTTTAAAGATAATACAGGGTAATCGATTACCAGGAAGTAGTAACCAGTTACTCTGAACAGAATTTGCAAAAACATTTTGAAACAAAGGCAAAAATGCATTGTAATGATTTAAAATATTTTCAATATGATATACAAGAATGATAAATGAAGTTGAACACTTGTACACGCTATATAGAAGCTGAATGTTGTACCTCCATTTTTGTAAAACTTTGTCTTCATTCTTTATCAAGTCTTAACATATTGATTTAAAATTGAAGTTCTTCAAACTTGATTTCTTTGAGATTCTTTTATCCATCCTTGTATGTTATAGAGTGTGTCGTTATCAAAATCATTTGAGAAACCATGTCTTCACAGTTTTTAGCTCGACCGACGTTTAAGGTTTTTAGCAATTGACGTTTGAAGATTCACCTCATTGACACTTGAGGGACTCGACTCAGGAACACCCGAGGGACTCACCCCATGCTTGAAGGACTCACCAAAGGTACACATGAGACATTCATCTCATGCTTGAGGATTCACCCTAAGTTCACCTGAGGGACTCGTCCAAATAAGAAGATAAAAATAAACTAAATCACTCCGCCCTTTCCAAGTCTTTGTTCTTGATGGACTATGTACTTGTATATTTGTAAAAGTCCCACAAGAGGCGGCGTAAGAAGCCTTCTAAGGAGAGGCGACGTGATATATCGTCAATGTCAGCTTCACAGTCGTTCATTTATTTGAATTAGCGTCAATTATTTGGCTATGACATCTATTATCTATATCACACGCGTTTCTATGAAAACGTGGGAGTGATGTGTTCCTAGGCATAACTATATGAGATAGAAAGTCAAAAAGAGGAAGTCACCTTCTCTAAAATAAAAGAGAAGGTAACTGCCCGCTTCTTACACTTATGTAATTAAATATTATTTTATTTGAGTCTAAGATCCATGCTTAAGAGATTTGTATGAAGGCATTCCATTCTCTCTAAAAAAAAATACTATAGACATAGCTTCTTACATTCCATACGTGAACTTCCTCTAATGCCGAAACAACTATAAAAATCTATGACAACTCTTAACCACAAGGATTATCACATATTATATTTTTAACAAATACAATTTTAAATAATATATTTTATTATTTTGAACAAAGAATACTAAGATAACTATTTGTCTCATGTATGATTTTAGATTATTTGAGACAAATATTTGTTATATTGCTTTGTGCTTTTTGTTATATAATGATAAAAAAAATATGTATGACATTAATAGTAAGATGTACTTGTTAATAGTAAATATATTTAAATTATGTATTAAATATATTTTTAACCTATACAATTTATGTTTTAAGGTATTATAAAAAACATCTATAAATTTTTTTTTAATCAAATAAAAAATATTGATTTATTTTCGATTTAGTCTTCAATTTGTTAGGGCTGTATGATCGACTTGCACCTCTAATTTTTTGATTGACTATTTTTATAATGATCCGAGTTGTCTTAATGAAACAATTTAATTTATATAAAATGGTCAATTAAGTTGATTATTTTTTTCAATTTTTTATTTATGATAAAGAAAATACTAACTAGTGTCTCTGACACACTAGTTAACCGATTAAAATAGTAAGTTGAACATTATTTAACTGATTAAAAAAATATATTTTTTTTCTAAATTTATATGTATTCAATTCACTAAAAATAAAAATAATTAATTTTTAAAAAAAGTATATTATATATATTCAATAAACATAATATAAATATTTTTTCATATTTAAAATTCTTAATCAGTTATCCGAGGACATCGGATAGCATGACTTTTATATTAAAATTTTTTTTAAGACTTTAAAATAAAATATTTTTTAATAAAATATATACATATTTAATGTTTTTTGAAAAGTAAAATAATTAATTTTTTTTAATAAAATATCTTTTTATTTAAAATTCTTAAAAAATATTTATGGAACACTGCTAGCAAATAATAAACAAATTCCAACAACCCATAAATTTAATTTATTAATTCACATTTTTTTTAATACTGTAGTTTTTTCCATACTGATTTACGTTCTCTATTTTCAACCAAATGTTACTTGAGGACCAAGACTCAGAAACGGTATTTATCGTAAATATCATTAACGGTCTCCGTTATCTCCTCGTGTACAATGGAATGGGTGATTAGTCAGCATTGGCGGCGCGAAAAGCTGCAAAGTAGTTTATGTTGTTTCGCTCATTCTCTAAATGAGCGCGTGTACTACACGGTATGTCAACTTACCGATGGATTAGCGTAACGGAATCAACGGATATATTGGATCCGCGCGTAAGAAAAAACAAGATTTCAAGCTGTATCCAACTGAGTATTTAATAAAAATGAGGATGATGGGCATGATATGCATGTAACATGTTCATGCTAATTCAATGTATGTATAATGCTATACAGCCCCATGACAGCTCATATATAAAAGTAGTAATAAAGTAGTAAATATTTACAATTACTATTTTTTTACTTTACCTATTTAATTATTATTAACATATATTGATATTTAATTTTGGTAAATATTTTTAAACATAATTTTATATACCATTAATATAAATTTTATTGGAGAAAACTCAATTTATTATTATTTTAACAGAATATTGTATGCTGTCGCGCATAAATATTTTATTTTATTTTAAAAAAAAGAGATGATATATTATTTTATAAAATTATTTGATATGATTATATATCTAATCAAATAATATTGAAAATTTTAAATTAAATATATTATTATTGAATTTTACAGGGTAATTTTTAATTTTAATTTCTTTTCAATACTTTAATAATACTTCTTACTTTGTGCCAAAGTAATTTGATTATAAATAATTAATTATGTTCCTTGAATTATTCAAAAATAAAATATTATTCAATAGTAAAAAACAAGAAAAAAATATTTAATAAAAATAAAAATAATTTATAAAATTTGATTTATCCAAAATAAAAGCTTCTAGAGAATTTATTTTATATGTAATTACAATCTAATTTTTATCTAAAAAACAAATTAGATTATTTATATATGCCATAAAATTATATCCTTAAATTGCATAAACATATACTAAGAATGAAATTTGGTTAAATGAATATATAAATTATTTTAGTTGACATTTTCTATTTTCCTATAATTTATTTTAAAAATAATAATAGTGCATCATTTCCAACAAAAATAAACAATGCATTATTTCCTTTTAACAAAATACAAATGTTTTATTTTATTTTTTTTTATTTTTATATTTTCATCTAGACAATATGGTCAAATAAATTTTGATATTTTTTTAATTAAATCAATTTTAAATATTTTTTGGTATATTTTATTGTATAATCTTTTTATTGTCATTTAATTATATATATTTTTGGTATATTTTATTGTATTGTAAAATTTTTTATTATCATCTAATTATATATTTTTATTTTATTTTATTTGATTAAGTAGTCTAATGGTTAAAATTTATTTTTTTAAAAATGAATAAGTGAAATGTTGCGGATTAAAAGTCGCGTCCGGTGTATACTTATACAACTAATGAAATTTATTAATAGAATTATATTTTTTTATTTTAGGATATAATAGATATTGTGTCTTAAATTATTCAATTAATTTTTTTGATTATATTGGTTTATATTATAAATTGATATAATTTATTTATATCAGTTTTTAGTCAAATAATATAATATATAAAATATTTCTTTCGTTTTAAAATGATTGTCGTTTTAATGAATAAAATTGATATCAAAATAAAAATCATTTACATTTTCTAATACAAAATTGTTATATTTTAAATTATATCATTTAATTTTTATTCTTTATATTATTTTAAAACATTAATATGACTAATTAACTTTTTAATATAATATTATTATCTCTTTTAATTTGTGTAAAAATATTAAATGACAGTCATTTTAAAATAAATATAATATTTAATAATATTATTTAATTTGTAAAAGCAATTTAAATCTTATTAAATTTATATTCCACTAAAAAAGATAATTTATAGGGTTGTATTTTGTATATAATAAATATATAATTAGTAAAAAAATATTACTAAATCCATTGGTAATATCATATTAGTATTTAAATATCAAGTTCCAATGAATATTAATAAATTAGAATTTAATAGTGTCCTAAATTCAGTTAATAGTGTGAGTGATAATATTATATGTTTTACCTACTCAAAAAATAATAAAAAAAAATTGCTTAAAATACGGTTATTATTTGACCATCCATTAAAAAATTGGTAATTGAAGGAGGACCTAGTAGTATATTAAGAAAAGTGAGTAGAGAGAGGAGGGGCCACTCAGAGTGAGAGAAAACACTGCAATCACTGCAGACAGAAAGTGACAGAGGAGAGAGAAAGACAGAGAGAAAAACAGAATAGCCTCCTCCGGCTCAGTGAAAAATCAAATTGGTAGGGTAAAATAAAATTCAATTCTTTGATTTCTTTCTCACTCTAGAGCAGTAACATTTTTTTTCTTTTTAATTTTATTAATTTGGTTTTAGTGTGTTAGATTTTTGTTTTTCTTGAGATTTGTGTAATTCATGTGTGTTGTATCAAGGTCGGCTAGTTGTTGTTTGTTTTTGATTTATATTTATTGATTTTGGTTCATTCTATGTCACAGCACTATTTTCCAGATCGATAGAAAAAAGACACTTCTTAATTCATGTTTTTTTGTTTGGCTTTTATATAAAGGAAATCTTGACCTTAGATTTGTGATCTCTTCTTTTCTTTGTTATATTCATATCTATATTTATATCAGTGTGTCACTCACCTTTGATACTCTTTTTCTGAAGATTGAGAGCCGAGGAAGCTTTTCTGTTGAAGGAGGAAGCTTCAGAAAAAAAAGGATAAACTGTGTGGATTTATGTCTTCTCAGTCTTCTAAGTTTATTCTCGAAGTGCTTGGGGCTCCTTTCAAGAAGCTCTGTATTGTTTCTGTTTCTTCTCTGTTGTTGACGATTCTCTTTGTTCATCTGAGTAATTTTTTTCTGAAGCCATCTGTTTCAATGCGATTGAGGCCTAAAAGGTTATTTTCTGTTTCTATATTATAATTTTGTTATTGTTTGTTTAGATTTTGGGTCTGGGTCTGATGATGTTTTTTATGTTGTTTTTGTGTAAACAGGACTGGTTGCCGAGTTGAGTGTTTTGGAGGATTTGAAATACAGAAATTTTCTAATCTCTTTTTGTTTTTCAGAGGGGATCTCACTTGAGAGATCTTGAGAATTTTTGATACTTTTTGTCTCTGGTTCACTTTCTTTGATTATTTCATTTTTTCTTTTTAAGTATTTTAAAGGGTTTTGGGAGGGTTTTTAGAATTTTTTTTTCACCATGTTGGGTTCTAGAAAATCTAGAGCCAAACCAAGGCCTCAACCTTTGAAGATAACGAAGAAATTGAAGATAGTTTATGATGATCCTGATGCAACTGATTCATCGTCCGAAGATGAGTTGCAACCAAGACGAATAAGGCGGGGCTGCTTGGAGATCTCTCTTCCTGTTATCCCTGTTGTGTCTGCAATTGCTTCTCCTCAAGATTCATTCAATGATGGGAAGGAAAAGATTGCAGCAAGGAGGAGTTGTCTCTCCGTGCGACGAGCTCAAACCAGGAAGAGGTCTGTTCCATCTGCTAATCCGACGACAAGGAGACAATCTTCTGCGAAGTTTCGAGGAGTTCGAATGAGGAAATGGGGAAAATGGGCGGCGGAGATTCGTGATCCGATCCGAGGTATTAGAATCTGGCTTGGAACTTACAACACTGCTGAAGAAGCTTCACAGGCTTATGAGTCCAAAAGGCTTTATTTCGAAAGGCTTCAATTTGAAATGGATTCTAAAGCAAAGAATAACAATAGTTGCTCCATCAACAACACCAACAATGCACCGGCACTCGTCGCAACTAACTCTTCCGCGGATGCTGCGAACGCCTCCGCTTCTGTGTCGGAGAAGTTTTCAACTACGGAAGATTCTGAAAGCTTGTTCTCGCATACTTCGCCTTCTTCCGTGCTTGAATTGGATACTCTAGCATCCAATGAGACGGAGAAGGTTGATGCTGTTGAAGATGAAGCTAGTGAAATGGTGGCTTGTCAACTTGAAGAGCTAGAAATTCCAGATCTGAGTGTTTTGAACTTGCCTGAGCCACCTGTTGCTGCTGCAGAGAATCCAAATGGGACTGATCTCAATATTGGGTTTGGATTTGATTTTGATCGGTTTAACATGGACGATTTTGGACAGGATTTTGATGACTTTGGTGAGCTTAGGGACATTCACATTCATGGCTTTGATGACAATGAGCCTAGTGAACTTCCTGATTTCGATTTTGGAGAGATTGGTGGTGAAGACGATGAATTTGCTGGTTGGATTGAAGAGCCATTCTTCCAACACAACATTTCATGTGTCTAAGTTTTGTAGTCTCTTAGGAGTGAGACTAGATTGTAGGACTAGTACTATGTTTTAGATTTTGTCAAAGACAATGTTAGTTTTGTTTTGTGAGACAATTTCTGAGATTTTGACAGTGATTCTAAGATTATTCAGTTTTATGGAGTTATATTGGATCCTTTGGTTTTCTTGTGCTATTAGAGCCGTCCCAAGGGTTCTTAAATTTTCTATATTGCTTGCTCTTAGTGTAATGTAATGTAATAAATGGAATTTGGAAGTTCTTCCATTACAATGGATGATGAATGAACCTTCATTGTTTTCTTTTATATCTTTAGTTTTTTTGTCTATATTTTAAATTGTATATGTATATTTTTTATTTGTAGATGATGTTTCAATTTCTTATGTCTTCAAAAGGATTTGTACATTTTGAGTAGTAGATCAGTAGGTCACTGCTTTTAGTGTATATATTGTGGATTGTACATTTTGAGTAGTAGATCAGGATCACTGCTTTTAGTGTGTATATTGTGGAAATGTATGGGTTGGTTGGGGATGGAAGGTGTGAGAAATAAAAGTTGTGTTTTTTGAACATTAAAATTCTGACAATGGGTGTGTTTGGTAAAATAAATCAGTTAATTCCTATTTTCCACCATCTTTTTTTAGACATGTTAAGAAATATGAATAAGTGAAAGGTAAAAAAGAATGTTTTTTTTATTTATTTATAAATTAAGATATCTTTATTTTAGGGATGTTGAGATTTATATTAGTTTAAAGAGAAAAATTTATTTGATTCAAAAATAAATTTTTGAAAGATTGATAAATAAAATTTGATCAATTTTATGTGATTTAATTTGTATTGGGAATTTATGAGGTTTAAGTCGATATACCATCTTCTATAAACTATGATATCTATTATATTATCTCCTGCTTTGGTGTTTCTGAAGCAACCAACTTTAATATGGAAGCCCTTCATCTTAAAGTTTTTAAACCTGTCTACTAAGTGATCAATCCAGCACATTTCATCTTTGTCATTTCTTAAGTTCATGCTCCACTTGAATCTATTCTAGATTTTTCATCCAAATAGTTTTTGATTCACTACGACCATAGAAGAGGTGGTCCATGGTTTCCTCATTAGAATGGAAGCACCAAGTATTGCTAGTTATCATACCAAACTGGCATAGCTTCGACTTAGTAGGGATTCTACCATGGCATGCTAACCATAGAGTCATCACTGCTCTAGGTCTAGCAACATTGCCATATAACACACGATTCCAATTAACTTTATTTTCACCCATGCTTTTTAGCTTTAATAGACTTTCTTGGTGTTAAACTTGTTACCTTTGCCAAAGGGTCTGCATATGGACAACATTTTCTCTCTGTTTTAGTACTGACCTCATTACCCACGATTCGTTAGCTTTTTCATTCATTTCCATCAACACATCCTCTTTGATGTAGTAACTATGCACCAATTTCACCTAAAGGTTATCAGATTTTTTGTAGAGATTCCAAAGGAGCTTCAGCATATTAGTGTTATTCCAAGTACCTATCTCAATAATATTTAGACCGCCATATTTCGTAGGGCTACAAGTTTTCCTCTAGGCAATAGGACTTTTCCTACTTATCTCAGAGTTACCAATCCACAAGAAAGATCTAAGAATAACATCTACCCTGTGAATCGCAAATTTGGGGGGGAAGCATTGCATCCACTAATTGGCTACAACAAATGAAACTGATTTTATTAGTTGAGTTCTTCCTGCATAGCTCAGCAGGTTACTGCTCCAATGCCTGATCCTACCGACAATTTAATCCACAAGACTCATGTAATGGTGGACACTCAAGTGTTTGCTTGTCAGTGGAGCACCCAAGTATCTAAATGGGAGGGCTTCTTGCTCAAAACTAGTCATTCTGGTAATAAGATCTCGGGTGCCCTCAACTACCCCACCAAAGTACACTTTACATTTCCTTGGATTTACAATCAGGCCAGTGGATTTTGAGAATTGATCAAGAGCCACCATCATTAACTCCACAAACCTGCAATTTCGTTTAGTAAAGAGTAAAAACATCATCAGCAAAAGTCAAATTAGTAATTTTAAGCCTCTCACACTTGGCATGATGGTTAAAATATGGGTTTTTTTGCATCTTGAACAACATTCTATTCATATATTCCATTACTATAACAAAAGTCAAGGGTGCCAAGGGGTCCCACTGTCTAATCCCCCTTCTAGCCTGCATCACTAAAGTATAAGACCTATTGATGTTGTACTCGTATAAAATAGTGGTTATATTAGTCATTGTCCAACGGATAAATTGGGCAGGCAAACCCATTTCCTTCAGGATACTCTTTAAAGAACTATAGTATACCATATCATATGCTTTTTGCGAATCAATTTGTATCATACATCTTGGGGTACCCCTTTCCTAAAGTAGCCCTTGATCAACTCATAGGCAATAAGGATATGGTTATGGATCTGTTGCCTTGGAATGAAGGCAGCTTGACAAGACCCCACAATACAACTAATTACCTTACCTAGTATGGAGGTGAGCACCTTAGAGATAATCTTGTACACAGCAGTACAACCAATAGTAGGTCAATAGTCATTTATGGAAGTAGCCCCTTCAGTCTTTGGAATGAGAGTGACCAATGTACAATTGACAACTTTATACACACTTTCATTATGAAAAAGTCTTATACTGCAACAGTCACATCTCTCTTAATAATCTGACAAATAGATTTGAAGAATCTAGCACCATATCCATAAATCCTAGCGGATTTCATATCACCAATTTCATGGAGAGCTGAGTAGATCTCTTGATCACAAATAGGAGCAATGACACTAACTCTTTTGGCTATCATTCATATGACCTCCTTCTCTTATAGCAACAACATTTATATGGGTTAAATTGTTGTCACATTATCCCATCAACTTGTCATAGTAGTCCAGTACTGCATCCTCAATATCTTGTTGGCTGGCTAAAATGGTATCATCATTTATATGCAAAGAGATAATACACTTTGCATTGTGCTTAGCTTTGAGTGATGCATGAAAGTAGGAGTTCTTACCATCCCCCAGTCTTAACCACTCAATCTTGGTTTTCTGCTAAAGGATGTTCTCTTCTAATTCATTACACTTAATAAGCTCCTCAGTGTATTCATTAATTTCCTTAATCTTGTGACAGTTCATTCTATCATTTAAAGATCCCATTGGGCCTGCTAAAGGTCAGATCTAGCTTTTAGTATATTTTGATGAACACTCAAGATGGGCTTACTCAATTTCCTCAAAGTAGGTTGAAGTTTTTTCAGCTTTTCCCAAAGAACATACATTACCTTCCCCTGAATAGGGTCCCTCCAGTTAGTAGCAACGGTCTGTGCATATCCTTCCATATCCACTATACAATTGATGAAATTGAAATGCTTATTCTTCTTGGTATATCTACCTGACCCCTAAGCCACAACAAATCATGATCAGACACACTAGGGGGAAGGATGTTAAGGGTGATATTCAAGTGGTTTTAAAACCATTCCACATTTCCCAATACCCTATCAATCATGGAATAAATAGCACCTGTAGCATGTTTATTGAACCAAGCATAGTATTCACCAAGGCTATCCATCTCATACATACCAATTTTATTCATCATAGTAGTAAGATCATTATACTCTACTTCAGTAACCAGTTTCCCCCATATCTTATCTTGAGTCTTGGTCATATTATTAAAGTCACCAAGCAGGCATTAAAGACCCTGCTGCTGACCATGAAGAATCCTAATGTCTCTCCATAAAATTCTTCTTTGATTAAGTGTATTTAAGGCATATATAGCAGTAAGCCATTATTGGAACTTTCCTTCAAGATCATACACACAACAATGAACCAATTGGCTAGTACTACTAATAATTCTAATGCCAATGAAACTATTATCCCAAGCTATCCAAATTCTACCATTATCATGATTAGCATAGTTATCAAGATAAATTACCTTATAGGTTAAGTAACTTTCTGATATTCAGAGCACTACCTTTCTTCACCCTAGTTTCTAGTAAAATATCAATTTTAGGTCAAAGCTCTAGGAGACAGGAGCTAATCTCCCTAAGCCTTCCCTTTTTATTCAACACCTGCACATTCCAAGCAATATTCATGTTCCAATGTCTTGGTACTCTAGAGGATCATTCAAAATCCCTAGTGCCTCAAATCCATTAGTACATTGTACTCTGGTTGGTGTTCCTTCCTGAGCGATTCCTTTATCTTTGTCTTTGCCACTGCTATGAACCTTTGTCCACTCTCCTTGGTGTTCTTCAGTTTGAGTATGATTTCTAGACCCTTTTGGCTTGTATAACATTTTATCCTCCTCTGGTGGTTTAGGTCGTGGTCTCCACTACATTTTAGGTTTTGTTACACCACAATTATGACCAACCTTTTGGCATTTCTCACAAAACGCAGGCTTCCACTCATATTCCACAACCTGAACCAATTTTTTTCCCTTCACTATCTTTTATAATGTTGCCTTTTTTAAGCTCCTGTGTGACATCCACTTCCACTAAAATTCTAGCATATGATACTTGAAGCTTATTGGCAGTGCATTCACTTGTAAGCAATGGTGTTCCTAATGCGCTTCCAACTTTGCTCAAACTCTTAGCGCCTCATAGGTGAATTGGTAATTTGGGAAGTTTGATCCAAATTGGTAGGGTTCTCAACATGTCTTCCTTTAAATTGAAATCTAATTTCCATTCTCTAAGTAACATTGACATGTTTCTTATAGTACACGACCCCTTCATCATGACTATTTCCATATCCTTGTTTGTTCTAAATTTGAAAAGGAAGTATCCATCATCATGGTAATACATATTAGGTAGTTTGACAAACTCTCACGACTTAATCATGTATTACTTCACCATATTCATGCTTACTTCCCTTCTAAGAACATACATGACTAGTCCTGTCTCCCAAAACTTCACCTCAGACACAATATCCTCTTCCTCAATTTCAATTTCAATTTCACCATTGACAAGCTTGGGTGCAGCATACTCAATA